AAGTCCCCTCCAATTATGTCTCCAATGCTTTCGTTAAAGGCATACAGTTTAATTGTTTTTTATTGAAATTCTTCAGTTTGGTAAATTTCTTCCTGATTATGGCTTATATTTTTTCTATCAATCACTGCACTGTAAATATTTTGATACATTTTGGTATAATATACCAAAACATATGTATGTCCAAAATTGTAGACCACTTGCTTATTATCTCTCAACTTTATGAACATTTAAAATTTTAAAAACGAAAAAAAATGCTTTAAAATTTACCATAGTTTTTTTCATAAATTTCAAAACTGTACTCTTAGTTCGTAACTTACAGAGCCATCCTTTATAAACACTTTGGACATCTAAAAATCCTTATAATAATTTCATTAGTACTTTTAGGTGCAAATATATACGGTTGTAAACAAATGTAACCAAAATTTTGCGAAAGAAAAATAAAATTTCTTCATTTATAGCGGTCCTAGCAGCATTTATCTGAAAAAAACATTTTGCTTTCAGACAACTATAGCGCCAAATGAATTGCGTAAATATTAGTGTCAAATAAAAGCTTTCTTTTTGCATTATGCCAAAAACCCGGTGCGCATTAAAATATTTTAAGGATATACAATTTTACGACCTAAAACTTCAAATTCCTATATTTTTCAAACCGACTGAGATATTAACTTAGTTTATTTTGCAATGCATTGAAAATCATCTCTAATTTTAGAACAATTTTTTTGATATTTTTTATTAGCAAAATTTTGAGTTTGGAAAGAAATTGCAAAAAAATTTAAGTAATTTTATTTTTAATTATCAGTGTATTTTCTGAAATATGAAATTTGCGATAACTATTTTAATATGCGCTGATAGTCCCTATAAATGTTTACTAATGGGTACTTACTTTATTGGAAAATAGCTTAACCCGTAATTTTAACGATTTTTTAAATTTTATTATTTTAAACCGCTATAACTTTTGCGCGCATCAATCAAAATAATTAAAGTTTTCATATTTATCATGTGTAATTATTATCCAACTCAACTACTGAATATGGTTCTTGTCAGAGGAAAAAAAATGTCGAAAAAAATTTTTATCTAATTCTTAAAATTTTTTGATTTTGCTCATATGCAGTATAGGGTCGGAAAATTATATTATAGAAATTACAAACGGAATGACAAACTTATATGTGTATTCCCTTCTCAAGAAGACGAAAGGTATAAAAATGGAGCATTAAAGCGCTTAAAAATTTTAATTCAGTGGTAGTTTCTCTTCAAGGTTTCAACGACTTCAAAATAAGACAAAGAAAAAGTGTGCATACACTTTTTCTTTTAAGCTTCCGACTTCCTATAATAATTCCTTATTCAAGTTTTTTATTATAGATGAAGAGATATAAAATTTCTCACCATCAAATTATATCTCGTAAAATTTAAGTGTATTTCAAAAGTTGGGACTAAATATGGATTTATATATTTATAAATCAACTATTTTTTATTGTTTACAACAATTTGCTCATACATGTATTCATTTAATGCTGAATTGTATTATAAAATATCGATACTAATATGAACATGGCCTCCGGTAGGTTAGTGGTTAGTGTTCTAATCTGGTAGACCGAAGGTGCTGGGTTCGATTCCCACCTGAGGCACTGGTAAAGGAGCGCGCAACAGGCCCGATAGAGGACTAGGTGCTTTTCTTTCGATTTAATGTATATACATCCTTTCAAACTAACTAACTAATAACTAAAATGAACAAAGGTCTTTAATGATATCATAGATCCATTATGGACCCAGATCTTTCGGTTCCCATAAAACTTCACCTCCATACAGTTAATTTTAATCCAGTAATGAGCGTAAAAATAATTTCAACAAGGTACCTTATAAGAGAGTTCAATTTGAACCGATCATCATAAAAATTGGTAGAAAGATTTCGGTTTCCATCAAATTTGTTTATGTCGAATTTCATCGCCATACAGTTATTTTTAAGCCAGTAATGAGCGTTATAGTCATATCTCAGGGTGCTTTATATGGGGGGTATGGTCAACTACGGACCGATCCTTAAAAAAATTTCGGTTTCTATAAAACTCTTCCGAGTAAAATTTCTCACTACTGAATTTATTTTATATTATTTTCTACAAATACTAGCGTTTCACGCTTGGTAGTAAAGTACCCTTTTGTAGGTTTGATTAGTATGGTAAATATATTAGCGGTTATAATTTTTTTATAAAAGCGTGAGTACCGAATGGTTGTATTAAGCAAAAAAGGTATATGCGTTCTGTCTCCAAATTTGTAAATTCCATGAACAAAAAACTTCATTAGACCATCCCACGACAATTGCATCTCCGCTGCGGGACGACCCGAAATATACACGCGAAAGATTTTCAACTCAACAGCAGTATTAACCAAAAAGTTTGTCCAAAATAAACAACCACGTTTTTTATTTTTGATATTTCTTGTTCCTGAGATATTCCAAAAACATCTATTTTTGACTTCTTTTTTTCACTTTTCTATTTTTTATAAATTTATATTTTTTATTTTTCAATTTATGTTATATGAGGTAAGTCTATCAGCTATTTATTTTGTTGGTAAATCTACCACGCTTATATACTAGAACTTTATTCTTGGTAGATTTAGTACAGCGATGTATATTTAAAATAAATACATTTTGTTGTTGCGTTGATGTAAATAGTATTATTTATAAAACTAACCAAACCTACAAGGGTACTTAACTACCAAGAGTGAAAACCGCTAATATAGCTACAATAATAACCAAACCTACAAGAGTACTACCAAGAGTAGAAATCGCTATTATCAATATGTAATACTATTTACAACATCGCAACAACAAAATAGATTTATTTTAAATATATGCATGTACATCACTGTACTAGATCTATTATGATTCATGAACCTCCTTATTCAAAAAAAATATTTTATAAAAGGTTTAAAGGCTCGGTTTTAGGCGAAAGCTTGAAAAATATGTTATTGACCATGATCTTCGATTGGTGCCATATCATCCATAATCGACACATAAGATCTAAAGACAGACTATTCCAGACTTGAGCGCCCTACTTAAATACGAATATGAAAAAAATTTGATAACGTATGTAAATCTGTAACGCGTCACCTGAAACGCAAACGGCCCTAACTAACCAAAAATCGATTTTATTGTTGATTCTAATATATTGCATCAAAACAAATGTTCACAAACAAAATTGGACTCCTCGATCCAAAATTTGCGATATTATTAACAAAAGGCCATATCTAAAAAAGCATTTAAATATTAAAGGTAAAAGTCTAATTTATCTTTTTTGCTATACGCCATTGTCAACTACCATAACAAATGATAGGTTTCACTATTAAACAATTTGTTTATTAAATAACAATAAATTGCGTTGATAGAAACAAACTTCCCAATTTAAATAGTTTTTTGCTTCTCCTATAAAAATTTTAAAATGTTAGATAAGGCCGTTTGCCCTTCAGGTGACGAACGATATGTCAATCTGAAAATTACGTGATGAATGAAGAACATTGAAAATATTGCACAAATCGAGTGGAAACCCATATTTTAAAATTTTTAAAAAACGAAGTAAAGTACGTAAAGTTACATTCACGAAAAGTACATCCCAGAAAGTCGATAGCAAAATTAGTAACATGATCACGTGACTTTATACTGTAGGCAAAAATCAATATACCATAAAAAATTGTTCAAGTTTATAGGGGATGTAATATACAATATTTGCAAAAATATCTAAAAGTCATACACTTTTAATTGTTTATATTTTTATTTTTTAGTTGTTTATATTTCTATGTAGAGTTCAAATATTTTTTTACTTAGCAAAAAGTATATTTCCAAAAGAATCAAAAAGTCATAACCCTAACGAAGCAGATTCTCGACTTTTATAGGCACTAAGCCTTGAACTTAATATTTTAATAAGTTGTCTTACTATTTTCATTAGTTCCTACTGCTTCTGACTTAAAGCTGTATATTAGAGTGCCCCGATAAATAGCCATTTTAAGAATTTCATGTAGGAATTCTTCTCAATCGTCGATACGTATTAATGCACTAAATACGAGAAAAATATTTGTTTTTGAATGGTCCTCAGTTCCCTACCAGCGATTGCAAATTCTGACCTCAGTATATGTTTTGAAAAACAAAATATCTTCGTTTTTTTCGCAATACGTCTCCGTACTTTTCAGCTGATTAAGGGAAAAATAATCTTAACATTTTTGTAGAGTATTTTAGTCCAAAAATAATTTTTAGTGGGTTGGGGAAGCATATTATTTTCGCTTTTTATTGAAATAGGTGTCAAAATTGTCGTAATTTTTAGCTTGTACAGAAAAATATTAAAAAAAATAGTTTGGCATTTGGTTTAGTCCATTTCAGAATTTTTTGGGATTTTTTTTAAATCTTAATACACTAAAAGTAGTTTTGCGGGTCAGAAATACACTAACAAAAATTTTAATTATTTTTCCCGCGATAAGTTCAAAATTACGGAATTTTTGACACCCATTTTGAAATGGTTGCAGGTACTGAGAACAAGATTTTCAATTGCAGGTAGGGTAGTGAGGACCTACTCCAAAAAATTGTTTTTTATTTTTCTCGTATTTATACAAGTGATCAATTATTCTTATACATTAATATAGTATGTACATTAGGGGTATGACAATTTTTGCAAATATCAAAAATACCATAGCAAGGCTTTGTAGGGCGTGAACAGATGTTAAGGAATATGATATTATTTTTTTTCGCGATCGTGAAAAAGTTCCCGTACCAAAGGAGATGAAGTTTTGTATAATTAATTTTTTTAAATGAGAAAAATAATTTTTTTTCTAACATTATTGCATTTTTATTACATTATCTTAAAGAGAATATTGCTCTTTAAAACCCTGTTATGAAATTTCTAATAAATCACTATAATATTGCATATTATACATATATAATAGTATACATTTATATGAGAATTATTAAAATAGTTTTAGTAAAAATAACGAACAAAAGCATTTCAAAAATTTCTTCCGGTTCGGGAAGTTTTTTCACAAAATTGATCTTAAAAATAGCCTTTTTACTATCAGGACAGTATTGGCTATAAGGTAGTGCTGTGGTATTATAATGTACATATATTAATTATACACAGTTAAGTAAAAATAATAAGCAATTAAATTTGACGAACAAAGCAATAACACAAAAAGATGAGCTAAATATAGAACTCATATACAATATAAATAAGAACTAATTATGATCTTACTTAAAACTTACCACTGTCTTTAGAGGAAGCGGTTGCAGAAGGAGATTCGCGCATTGCATCGGCCAAGTCTTCTTTTAAACGAGAATCACCATGAGCTACGGAAAAGTCAGAATCTAAATGATCGTGACGAAAACGATCCATCAGTTTGGGGCTTTGTTCAATGCTGCCTGGAGATTTTTTAAAAAATTTTTATTATCAAATAAAATGTATGTAATTAAAAGCGTAACAAATAAAGTTTCTTACTGTATGATCCAGATTCTATAAGAACCGGTACAGCACTAGAGCGACTTGTTGCAGTTAAGGGCATATTCAAAGGGCTTGAATGATCAATTTTTTCGGAAGTTGAATTAGTGCTAGATTTTGATGTACCTATTTCTACTGCTTCAATTTCGACATGACTTAAATTTGACCTAAAACATTTATCAATGAAAAAAACTTACTTTTATTTTTATTTATTAAATAAACAAATTACCCGCTTGGTGTGTTATAAGTCTTAAATACAAATTGGGGTCCCATCCAGAGACGTCTATGAGGTCCAGCGTGTGTTATAATTTCAACCTGCGCTAGCCAAGATTCGCTCCGATCATCTGAGTCATCGTATTGGCGAGCGCTATCGGTTAACATGCAAGAATTGCGATTTTTAATTAACCAATTATCTGCTGATAGTGGGGGCATTATCTCCTGAGACCCTTCTTTACGCCTACCCAAGTTCCATTGTGCTTTTGCTTCTACTTCTAATTCAATGGGAGTATCGTCACATATTTTATCTTTGGCAACATCTAAATAAAAATTATTTTATAGGATTATATCACCATATATATGTATACACATTAAAAAATATTCGTACTTGAAGCAAGTTTTGTATCCAAATCGTATTGTATAAGAGCTCCGTGTCCGGCCATTATAAACAAGGAATCTACAGCTTTGCGCTGTATACGGTGTGGAGCTTCCCGAGTAACATTTGGGGGGTCCAAAAGCCACGATCGTGATTTTGCAAAAATAGCACAAACACTTAGTGGCTTTCCGCTATCATCTGATAATGAGGATAATCTTTGACGCTGTGATCCTGATCCCGAGCTTCCTGTAACAGATTTAACTCCTGCTAAAGTTGACGACCCCGGTGGAGATCCCAGAGCAAATGGTTGTCTCAACTGAGCTAACGGCATAACTACCGTTGGGCGGGGAAACGGCGGTAAAGTTGAATTGTGATAAGGCTGCAGAGATTGGGTGAATGTTGTACTTTCCGAATGTGAAATTGGGGAATTCGAGCGTCCTTCAGCCGATAGGCCGGCTGAACGATGAAAACGAGATAATTTATTAACCACATGCAGAGAAGTGTGAGTTCTTACACCCATAGCACCTCCATATGGCGTAATGGGAAACACATGGGTTGTGCCTCGAAGTGTTGAAACAGCAACCCAGCGCGAATCCAGTGTTAACGTTATGTTTTGCACTTTGGCACTTGTATCGCCACGATGTAATATATATAGATGATGTACGGCTGCAAGACTGGAACCGACAGGATTCGGTTGAATACGAAACACGTGAAAGTCATGCCCTCTTCGATCAGCTGTTACTAAAAGCATTCCTGAATTATCGAACTCCATTGCAACCAATGCTTCCGAGTGCGCTATAAAATGAGCTATAATTGAATCGGTCCCCGCTGTTTGATTGTTAGATGTTGACAAACCCGAAGTGGGACTGCAATCACGCAGAGGATTCTGAAAGTTATAAGATAATTGTATTACAAATTAATGACATTCTCACATTCGGTATGCATTTTTCAAAACATCGCATACTACTTTCAAAAATAAATAACAGTGTTATAATACAACCCTGCCAAACAAGCCATAATAGATTTCGAAAAGCAATTTGCGTTTATTTTATTTGTTAAGCTCTGGAAAACGTCAATATTTTAAGACTTGTTGAAGCCCTATGGTATAAAAAAATGTCTTATATGTAAAAGACATCATTTTCCTATAAAGATTTTTAATATAACTAATTCTCTATTAGTTTTTGCAAACAAATGTATTTGAATATAAAGAAAATAGTGAACCTATTCAACTGAGCGGTCTACAGTCTAACAGTCATTTTCACACATGGACAAATCTATGTGTGCAGGAAACTGTGGACCATTAGCATTAACTCTGTGACTTTAAAGTTCAAAGGACATATGATTTCAAAATATGGAATTCCAAATTTATATAAAAAATTTGGTATTAATATCAAATGAAGATGAAGATGGCAACCTCTGCTTCAAAATGTTTCGTAAATGAGAACTTTTTTAAATTTAATTTCTTTTTCGATTTTTTTGTCTAAGGGAGTCAAATAAAGGATATAGATAGAATGTACAGATATAATGCCATACCAATATTGGCATTATACAGTACTACCTACCCAGGAAATTTAGGCAAAAAAATGAGCAATCTGGGGAATTACAGATAGCTAAATAAAAATTGGCACATAGCTTCCCCTTAGCATAATTAGTATGGAATAAAAATTCCCCGAAAATATCTTGTGTGGTTTTGCGAGATATTGGGGGTCAAAGGTTACAAAAATTTGTTTTTGTCGAATAACTTGTTCAATAGCTGTCTATCCATAATTTCAGATAGTATTACAGGTCATATTTATGATCAGAATTAGAAGTAAATTGGGGGTCACAATTCACATATTAAGAGTAATATTCCCACCAAATTTTATTAAGATAAGACTTTATCTTTAAATATTTTGTAACAATTTTTGAATTTTCAATACAAATTAAAGTTGGTTGTCTACATTAGAGCTAGCTGAAGTCGTATTCTGATTTCAATGAAATTTAGTGGAAATATTTTCCTGATGTCGTAGATTGTGGACCAAATTTTTTCAAAATATATTCATAAAGTAACCTATGACCCCATCGGAAATTTCGGATAGACGGACATTACACTAAGGGCCAGAGAGTGATGCTGTGATAAGGGGTGCAACAGAAATTAATTATGTACTTTTAACTAATATGAGAAAGAAAAAATTCGACAGTATCTGTATTGGTGTTATTAAGATTTGAAAATGTCTTTGCAATGAAAAAACAATGCACTATAGCTCGAAAACAACTAATATGCGAAAATATTCCTCGACCAAAATGTAGGAAAATCAATACTCTATAGAAATTATAACATCATCACGCGTATGACGCATAATAAGCGACATATCTCACTTAGCGTGCATGATATTTTCGGTTACTTTTAATCCCTTACTTATGCTATGGAGATGCTATGTGTCAATTTTCATTTAGCTATCTAAAATTCCGCAGCAAAACCCTTATTTTTCTGGGCTATACATATAAATATTTAAAATATTCGTTTGAAATTGTAATCCTTTAAACTCTGAAGTCCTTTTATAAGGATATAAAAGCTGATTATAAAATATCAACTTTTCTATGTGTGAAAGCTTTTTTCAAAATTGTTATGCAGGGTGTAATATCATCAAACGCATTTTTGTGACCTTTGAGTGCTAATAACTCGTTTAGCGCACAATATAATTATGGTGACTTTTAATACCTTATTATAATGCTAAGGAGAAGCTATGTACCAATTTATTGGAATATCTTTAATATTCACGATATCAATACGATTAAGTATTATTTAATAAAAATTTATTTTCAATAAGAAACAAGTCTAACAAAAATGTTTAACGAATGAAAAAAATATTTGATAAGAAAAATTATTATATAAAATTATATTTATTATTATTATATAAAATCAGTTATAATTGTATAATAACAAATTAAATAAAAAAAAAAAAAAAAAAAAAAAAAAAAATATTTTTCAATGCAAACTAAAAATATTTATGTTGTTATACAAAAGTGTTTTTAGAATAACAAACATTATCAACACAATTTTCATTTAGCTACCTATAATTCCGCAGCAAAACCCTAATATTTTTTATATTATTTCTATTTATGTAAAAACAGCAAATATTCTAAGGATAAGAAAAATATGTTAAAAAGGTTTACTACAGTTTACTTAATTTCAAATTAATTACACTTTTTTCAATAAAAACGCGCCTGAGCATAATATTATGCTACGTTTAAGTAATATTTGTTAAAACTATATAATAGTGTGTTTAGTGGAAAAGTTAATATTGTTTTCATACCTTTATATCTATAATGGTAACTATACCAGATTGTTTCGTTTCAAGACCACAACCGGAATCAAAGGACGTATTCTTAGAATTGCTTGTACTGCCAGTAGTGCCCGTCAATCCAGCAGCGACTTGTTCTCCTAACTCTCGTAAGCCTTTTACTAATGATTTTGAGGCATTCAGTACAGTGGCTGTATAACTTGCTACGCCATCTCCATCACAGCCACCTCCACTACGCTTTGAATGCAAAAGTTTATTTTCCGCATATGCTAACCATCGTGGACCTAAGGCTGCAGGATTAGGATTTATACTAAAAGAGTAAACGTAGAGTTATAATATAATTAATTTGCAAATTATTTGCATAGCTTAGAACTGGATTTTTTGTTAAACCAACGAACCATTAAAGTGAAAAGATACATATTTATATGAAGTTGTGCTTCATATTTATCATTTTACACAATTTTTCATTCTTCATTCTAGCCATTTCATTGGCTAGAATGAAGAATGTCTATGTAAAAAATTTAGGTGCAAATTCTTTTTTTTTAATAATTTTAATTGAAAGATTTGGTTGTAATTATTTATATCTTTAAAAAAAAAAAAAAAAAAAAATAAATTCGGCTGTGACGAATCTTATATACCTTTCACCATAATAAGTTATTAAAAAAAGTTGATACTTAAAAAGATAAAAAATAAATAAATAATGAAATATATTACCCTACTTATTTGTTAATGGGAATGTAACGGAACATGTAACGATTTGTTTTGTAAAATGCTGCCCATGCATGTATGTATGTATCTATGTATGTATGTATGTATGTATGTATGTATGTATGTATGTATGTATGTATGTATGTATGTATGTATGTATGTATGTATGTATGTATGTATGTATGTATGTATGTATGTATGTATGTATGTATGTATGTATGTATGTATGTATGTATGTATGTATGTATGTATGTATGTATGTATGTATGTATGTATGTATGTATGTATGTATGTATGTATGTATGTATGTATGTATGTATGTATGTATGTATGTATGTATGTATGTATGTATGTATGTATGTATGTATGTATGTATGTATGTATGTATGTATGTATGTATGTATGTATGTATGTATGTATGTATGTATGTATGTATGTATGTATGTATGTATGTATGTATGTATGTATGTATGTATGTATGTATGTATGTATGTATGTATGTATGTATGTATGTATGCATGTATGTATGTATATATATATATGTACGTATGTTTTTATGTATTAAGACAAAAGCAAGCAAAACAACTTACAGTTACTCACAAATATCAACGGAAATATTGATTCTTGTTTTACTTAAAAGGGATATTATTTTCTCAAAAAAAAAATAAAAAGTAACACAATTTTGGTTATTCGATTAAAGGAGAAGTTAAATATGTAGGTGCAAAATTTACATAACAAAAGTAAGTATACATATCATTTCAATATGTTTTTGATTTAATGGCATTAACAAAATTCAAAATATTTTTCACACAATAACTTGGAAATTATCCACTTTTTATTCGGGAAACTTTAAATTTGGCTCAATTGACTCCAAAAAATAACACAAGTTTACAAATTAATATTTTTTGTTTGATCATGGAATGAAACATATATTTTTGGAAAGGGCTATGTCCGGTGGTTAATTAACAATTTTTATTTTTTTCCTATACGTCGAAATTTTGAGATAAAGTGGTTTTTGTTAAGCATCCTTCTTCAGTAGTGATGGAAAAATATTTGAAAATGAGAATTGATTTTTGGGTGCTTGCACCTGTTTTGGGAATCTAACCATCAACTCAGAAAAAAATCAATAATATAAAAATTACGTCTAAAATTATTGGCATTTTGTTCCGGAATTACAAAATTACGCATCTGAATTTATCCCTCATAGTTCATTTCTTACATTCCCACTTATACTTTTTCCGAAAAACTCTTGGAAGTGTGAGTGATAAAAATGGCGTCTATTCACCAAGATTTAAGATTATTGCAACGTAATTTTTAATATTTTTGTGACAGGAATCCATTGTTAGAGAGTTGTGAGGAAGACCAGTAAAATTATTTGTATAAAAAATAAATGCATCCCTAAATAGTTAATTTTTTCCTCCTAATTTAACTCTTTTTTAGCATTTTCTTTCTTTATGAAAAATTCAAAAATTTGACGTCCTAGATTTTTTTAAATATTTTTTCTGGACTTAGACGGCCAAAATAAAGAAATACATATAGGTTTTATATTATGAGCAAAATCGTTGTAAACTAGTGTAATTTTTAGAACTGTTTCTCCCCATTCTATTCGAATTTTTTCCACTTTAGACCCCTAGTTTTGGATCTGGTCATAAGGTCGGTCTTCTGAATGATGCATTAGAAGTTGAATTTTTAACTTTGAGAAAGAGTTATTATTTTGCAATTAATAGTACATTTAATTCCGATTTGTTAAAACTTACATTATATTATTGAAAATGTGGATTATTGTGTATAATTTCTTCAATTTAATCAGGTTTTCCAAATCCTTCGATTTCCAAAATATAAAATTATGCTATCAATCATATCTTGATATACTCGAGACAATAACCTTGAACAATAACGGATCGAACATTTTATTTGTTCTAGTAACAAATTATAACGCATTTCTGTTCAAATTTATTTAATTCGTATTTATACCACTAATTGAGCCTGATTTAATATGAAAAACTTATTATTTTGGACAAGAACCAATTTCTGAACCGGTATGTAGAGTAAGTTATTGACATTGTCACCATCTGAAGAATATTGGTAGTATTGCAGTGTGCAATGGACGAATGGAATCAAAAAACTTGTTTTAATTAATGGATACTAGAACAAATATTATTAATTTCGCATTTTAAGAAATACATTTTAGGAAATCGCTGTTAAATACATATCTAATATGAAAGCTATATATTGTTTAAAATTTATTGCAGTTATTATAAAGATATAATTTCTTTAAAAGTTAAAATATCATCAGCTAATGCTTTATAAGATCAAACAAGGGAGATTATTGAACATCCGATCCAAAACTCCGCGGGTTTATATAACAAAAAGGCCAGAAGAGGGAAAAATTGTACCCAAAAAGAGGATTATTTTCATGTTATTTTATTAGAAGGTAATAATAATTTTATAAATTTTGTTAATATCATTATATTAAAGACATAATGAAATAATCTGTATACTTACTTTTGTTATTTAAATTTTGCACCTATTTAACTTCTCCTTTAATGAGAACTCGAATAACCAAAATATCCAGAAAAAAGTTGTAAATAATAATTAACATAATTGATTTTAATAAATAATTGTGTTACTTTTCTGTTTTTTCTGACCGTATTTCTGCATACTTATTTTTGTGATTATTTGTGTACATTTTGTTGAACAATGATATTTTACAATGTAATATTGTTATTTTGGCATTGTGGATTTATCTTACTGAATGAATGGATAATAAAAAAATAATAAATAAAATAATGAACTATTTACAAATATTAACTTGTTTATTAAAACTATTTTTAATTGTTCGGAACCTACCCTGGACTGGGATAGCATGTTGTAATCGATAAGCGATCCTCCAAAGTACGGGCATCAAAAACGGCAATACGTTCATGAAAAGTAATAACTACCGACGAACGATTAGCCAATATATCAATAACTGGATTTTTAAACTTAATAGTTTTCACCTGCGCGGCAGTTTTAAGAGATATAAAATTAACTGCACAGAACTGTGGTTGAGATCCCGACGTTGAGCTTCCATCTACTAAAGCAATTAAAGGCCTTTTCTCTCCAAATGCATCAATGGGTTCATCAGCACGACCATTTTCTTCTACAGCTACTGTTGAAACCGGAGTTGGAAGAACTCTTAGAGCCGACACTATGCCATGTCGCCAAGAAAGTACTTCAACGGCTTCACCATTCGCTGGTATTGCCCAAACTTGAACACCCAAACCATACCCCAGTATTAATAGAAGTGGAGGCGCAACATTACCTTCTAATTCCCAATCATCTCCAAAACGTGGGTCGCTTATATCAGCAGCTGTTTCAAATCTTGCCCAAGTTATAGTATCTTTCGGATCTATTGGAGGCTGCTGGGCTAAAGTGACTTCATTAATAAAGCCAATAGCTGAATCCAAAATTGATCGATCACTAACAACCTGTGGTGGTACTATAGCAGGAACCGCCATCATACCACGACTGGCATTACCAGAAGAACGCCTAGGTGAATCTGCTGACATGTCTTTATCCTTGTTTACCTCTCTATTGATTTTTTCAAAACCCTCGTTCGGAGCTAATACTCCAAGAGAGTGAAAAAATCAGTTAAATATTTACACTTTGAAAATCAAAATTTCAAATAATTCGTTTAAATTTGATTATTTTACTTAACAAATATATGAAATGATTAAATTTTGATGTTTCAAAGTCGCAAATTAATTATTTAGTTTAACGTTTCTTTCTTAATACGATGTACTGTTTACTGAGTACAGTAGTATTAACGTCTTTGAAAAAATTGTACAGTCGTCGGTTTCTGAAAAGAAAAAATAGTTGTTATTAACTAAGAATGCTTATAAAAAACTCGGTACGATTTCTAGAAAACCGTTTAACCGAAACTTATAAATTAAATACTAAGGTTTTCTTATAAATGTATATAAAATTAAAAATGCAAAATAAATATAATTCTTGCACCTTTGTATAAATTGTTAGTTGTTCATTTTTTGCCTAATTTTCCTGGGGTATACCTGTTTTCTAACATTGTATACAAATTTGCAATAAATCCAATTTTTAGGTAAAATTTAAAGATTCGATCGAAAATCGAAATCTTAACTGTTCAGACCGGAGTATTTGATACTTATTTGGATTCTGCTTACACGAGAAAACATTATTTTACATAAAATTTTGTTGTATTTTAAACATTAAAGCCTTATTCATAACAATTTATCAATGACCATATACATACGTATATTTTCATATCGAAATGCTGCCGACATATGATCATGTCATATATGGAATCATATATAAAAATTTGTCCATATATGGATATGAATGGAAATATATGGAGATTATGCCCAATTTCCCCAAATTGGATATGAACATATATGAAAATATATGCTTCATTCATATGAATCTATATATAATCATTCTTAGATGGGTAAGCAAAATTACTTGATTTCAAATTAACAAAATTTATTGGAAATAACTAATTTCGTGTATATTTCGATCGAAATCTCCAAGTTAATTAATTTCGTTTGGTCTAAATGGGTCATTATACAGAAAAATATTAAGTAAAATATTTTTTTTTTTTTTTTTGTTATTTTTGTAGTATTGTATCTTAAGTAAATTAATTAAATGTAAGTTTCCATTTTCAATAAACTTTTAACAGTTTTTTTTTTGCTTAAAAAAATATAGCATGAGTACTTTTATATTTATTTTATTTTATACTATAATGTAGATAGATCTATAATAAATATTAATGTAAACGTAATTTGAAAAAGAATCAATAAATCGTAAATGCAGAAATAAAAGTGTTTTAATTGTTTAAAAGAATAAGTGCACACATGTATTTAGTTTTTATATAAATACATACATATGTACATATGGAAATAAATATGTATGTATGTGTGTTATTATACTTTTAACTTATTGATAGATGACTTAAAAGTAAATTTGCTATAAAAGGAAATAATCTTGGAAATATAAAAACATTCCAATTGCACTTGCGCCCTTATGCATATTCGTTATTTCAAGTATTTTACAAATTGGGCTTAAATTTATTTTATACACTGTGAATCACTTCAATATTGTCAACTTTTTAACGAAAATACCTTGTAAACTAAATATTGGAATATTATAAAATTGTGGACTTTTAAAGACCATATTCTTACTATTAATTAGGTGGAACAAGTGATCGGATTGTTTTATTTCTTCTATAGAAATTTAGTTTATTTCTCTTTACATACAATAAAATAAGTATTTTTGTTTTAAAGAAACTAGACGGAATCTGGTAATTCACATCGATTAATCTTATAAGGTCGTAAATATTAAACAGTAGTATTTTAAATTTTTAAAAAGGAGACAGGAGAAAGCTCTTAAAACTTCCGGAAAAGGAGAAAGAATAATTTTAAAATTCAGTGAACTAAATGCCACCTAAATATCAGGAATAACTAAAAAGTGAACAGCCAATTGTATACAGTTACTTTAGAAAGAATTAAAGCTATATATATCTTATTATGGCACTATCGAATTCGTAAAAGAAAATATTAACGAGTCTCGTTTCCACAATTTGAAAAGTCTTTTCTACCCATACTGTGGACCTACCGAAAATTGTAATACAGTGATTTCGTGAACAAGCTGTATACATTTTAAATTGTTCTCCATATTATCCGGGTTTTAATATGATGGAAAATTTCTAGCGGAGGCTTGTTAGAAAAGTATACGATGAAGGAAAACAATTTTATGTAAAGGTGTCTGTAAAGGTTGGAATAGCATTGTCAGGAACTTTTAATGGTTTCCTTAAGAAAAGAAAAATATATTGAATGAACTGGTTTGAAAATAAATTAATAAATTTTATCGGGAAAGAAAAATGTAAGGAACTTATAACCTAACTTCTAACTTCGCAAGTTTTGGGAAAAATAAATTCCGAAAATTGAGGAAAGAATAATCAAATGTTATGCAAAAATAAAAAAATGTTTTCTTTAAAATAGAAAAGAATTTTGAAATCCTGATTTCAAAATTCACCCCCCCCCCCCTCATTTCCTTGAGCAAGGTGCAGTTAAATAAATGGTAGAGCAGGAAAATCGTTACATCACTTTTTTCGCCTAATTAATAGTAAGAATATGGCCTTAAAAGTCCAAAATTTTGTAATCTTCAATATCTATCTTCGGTGCATTTTTTTATATAATCCTTTGTAATAACTCATAAAACATTACGATTTCACAAAGCAAGCAGATCTGTACAATTCAGTAACTTTTTAACTACAAATTTTTTTCGTTAAAATAGTATAAATTCGTAAGTTAACAATAATTGTCGTTATGGTGGTATTCTGTAATTTTATTTCACCCGTTTTTTTTTTTTCGTTAAACAAAATCATTAGTTAACGAAAAGTATCGGCAATGTAAGACCAAATAAAAAGTTCACGTTAATAATTTTATATTTTAAAAATATTTCAATACAAAACTTTTGACATTCTCATATTTTTCCGACCTTTGTTTCCTTTCGTTTCCTTTTAACCCTAAGAGAATACCAAATTATAGTTAAATATTATCAATCCCTTCTTCTCCAACAACTTCAAAAATTTTCTGCTGGGTTACTTTTTAATCATTCATTCAATTATATCACCTGCATTACGCAAACGGCCCTATCTAACATTTTTAATGTTTTACAGGAGAAGCCAAAATCTATATAAATTAAAAAGTTTGTTTCTATCAACGCGATTTATTTGTAGTAAGTTGATAATGGCGTATATAAAAATGGATAAATTGGAATTTTTACCTTCAATATTTAAATGTTATTGTAGATAGGGCCTTTTGTTTTTTGTAAAAAAAATCGATTATTTTGGTCGGAGGTGGCAAATTTTTGGTGTGGAAATTTGTTTTGATGCAATACATTAGAATCAACAATAAAATCGATATTGAATTTTTGGTTAGTTAGGGCCGTTTGCGTTTCAGGTGACGATATGTAGTCCATTTGTTTGATACAACTATATCTTAATAATAATCACCCTTATTATGTAAGTCGAAGTCACGTCGATTTTCTCTCGAATTTTCAAAATGGTATTACATATGTCGATTTTCTTCAGAAATATAAGCAGGAATAAAGCGATAATTGTCTTAATGCCACGAGTACTATTACTAGAACAACAGACACTAGTACAAATTGGGTTAGAGTTTATATGGAAAAATACTAGTACTAGGAGTAGTTGAATGGCGCCACTGAGTTTTGTTTGACATGTGCTGGAAAAAATTAATTTTTTAAATTATTAAAATATAATTTTGAAACATTTTGCATAAAAACGATATTTTTAAACATATCCCTTCAAATGAGAGAATAAATAGTGCATGCAAATTTAGGTCCGGTTGCAAGCAAATCTCTATGTAAGTACGTCTATTAAATTTAAAAACTGCAATAAGTTTAATATTTGTTTTATCGTACGGCAAATGTTTTTATAACGATATCAACTTGGTGATACGAATAGAACCAGAATTTCTTCAAACTTTCATATTGAATTGTTAGGTAAATGTGTTTTTAAATGTTAGGTAAATTTTTAAATATTTTTTTTTTTTGTTGCTATCTTTAGAAATAAATCCGTATAAAAAACTAGTTGTGTAGTAATTTTCACTTGGAATTGTGCAGTAGGATTGCAAAAGAGCAAAACCACCAATTATGGCGACTTGGGAACTAGTACTGGTGATTTTGGTACTACATAGTTCCATTTCCTGCAGGGTAAGTTAAAAATCTATTATTAAAAATGGTACTATGTATGTCGTATTTTAATGGAAAATTCGACAGAAAGTGTCGATGTGTATTGTACTGGTGACAAAAACTTTCAAAGCTATTGGCATCAGTTCCCGTAGCTCAAATTTGCTGAAATTTGGATGTTATGAGTACACCAGAGGAACATATAATATAATGTTCGAATATTCGAAATTAAGTTCGAAAATTCGAAATAATTTTCAATGTGCTAATATAATATATAAAGGTCAAAAAACTAAT